GGATGTTGATGATTCGGAGGAGGGTGGCAAGGAGGTGGCGAAGACCACTGTCAGACGGACGGTGAGACCGCGAAGGGGGAGGTGGACCGATAGGATGATGATTGATGATTTGATGCTGATGCTCATGATGATCATGATGATGCTGATGGCGATGATGGTGATGATGATGCTGATGCTGATGATGCTGATGATGACAATGCTGCTATTGATGATGCTTCCGATGCTGATGATGATGATGACGATGATGCTGATTATGCTGCTGCTGCTGATGCTGCTGATGCTGATGGTGATGGTTCTTATGCCGACGCTGTTTCGGAACATGATGAGGCTGATGCTGCTGATACTTATGATGATGCTGCTGATGATGATGCTGATACTGATGCTGATGATGATGCTGATGATGCTGATGATGCTGCTGATGATGATGTTGATGATGATGATGATGATGGTGATAACACGGTTCATGATGATGCTGATGCTGATGTTGATGATGATGCTCGTGATGATGATGTGGTTGCTGCTGATGATGATTATGCTGATACAAACGATTGGGATTTTGATCATGTTGATGTGCATGATGGTTACGATAATGATCGTGGTGCTGAGGATGATGATGCTAATGATGATGCTGTTAATGATGATCATGTTGCTGCTGCTGTTGCTTCTGACGATGCTGAGGCTGATGACGATGGTGTTAGCCTCCAAGCATCTCGTACACATGAATATGTATACACGCAGACATGCTGCATAATACAGATGCTTACACATATACATATACATCGACCTACACATAGACATATACATTTACATATGCATATACATATATCATATACATATTCAAGCACATACATACGCATTTACGTACGCGTAAACGTCACCATATGCACACACCTATACGTATACAAATACGTACGCATCTAGACATACATATACACATGCGTCTACCATACATTTACATCTGTATACACACACTTAGACATATGCGTCTATGTAGGCACATACATATACATACACATATACGTATATGTATACACATACTTTAGACATCTGCAGTTACATGTACCTGTACATGTACATATGAGGTACATCTACATGTACATGTACTCGCTAGTACATTTGCATATGCATATGTACATTTGCATGTACATGTACATGTACATGTACGTGTACACGTACCTATACATTTACATTTACATATACATGAATTCCTATACATATGCATATACACATACACATACATGCACACCTGCACTCACATTAATACAAGTGTACGCTTTCGTAGACATATACATCTACACATGGTACTACGTATACGTCGACTTATAGACACACACGCATACACATACATTTACAAGCGTATATACACATGCAGATGTACATACACATACCTAATCATAGCCATAATCATGTAACTAGGTGCACATACATATCCATATCCATACCCATATATATATGTACATATACATATACCTTTACATATGACTATACAAAAACATATTCATATTTACACATGTACATATACATGTACAGATACATAAGCACATGCACATACATATACAGATACACACATATACATGTACATTTACATGTACCTTTACATTTTACACATACATTTACAATCATGTATAAATTTAGCAATCCATATACATCTACACATATGTATGGGTGTATATATATATATGCACATCCACATATGTAACTATATATCGACATGTCCATATACATAGACATGTACACTGTACATATACACTGTTTAAAATCTTTATACAAATCTATACATGCACATATGTATTAAACGGCTTTCGGCCCATGACGCCACCGCGACTGAATTGTGGGCCAGAGTCCTTAGGGATTCTTTCTTGGGTCTCTTCGGAGCGCTTTCGGAGCCTCTTAGGGGCAGTTTGGTGGCCTCTTGAGGCCCCTTTGGGGGCCTCTCGGGGGCCTCTTGGCGCCTCCTCGGGGCCTCGTGGGGGCCGCCTTTCGAGCCCGAGGGCGCGCACTGTCCGCTCGGGTTCCCCGTGTAGGCCCCTATTTTGGAGCCTTCTCGGGGGCCCCTTGGGCTGTCTTGGGGCCCTCTCGGGCCGTTTTGGGGCCTTTATTGGAGGCCTTTGGGGCCGTCTTGGGGCGATCTTGGGGGCCTCTGAAGCCGTTCGGGAGCGTCGGGATGCCGAAGAGGGGAGAAAGCCAAACTCCCTCAAACACCTGAGGACCATGCATGATTTTTGCCCCTGGGGGCCCTCTTGGGCGGTCTCTTGGTGGCCTCTGGGGGCGTTTTGGGGGCATCTTGGGCGCTCTTGATACCAGGTTTGGCGTCTGGGACTGATATGTCCGCGACTCGGGGCCCTCTGAGACCGTCTTGGGGACCTGTTAGGCCTCTCTTGGCCCATCTTGGGGCCCTTCGCCGGCCTGAAATAGGCACGCGACAGGACGCGATAAGCCCCAGGGGAGCCCCAGAAGATTTGACAGTTTTGGGCCCGGGCCCCTTACAGAATCCCCAGGATTGAGGACTGAGGCTCCAGGGGATCCACCTGGGGATCTGATGACACTCCAACTCGTGCCTCAAGGGCACGGTGGCGGATATGTTTCTAGACACACAGTACATCTACAGATGTATACAGGTGGAGGCAATCTCCGAGCAAAGAGTGGGGCGCCACTGCAGCAAATGGAAGAGCATGCCTCCGACTAGTCTGGCTCCCCTTCTGGCGACTGCGCGGCCACGCGTTCCGATTCCGATTCATTTACGCGTCGGTGGTGACTGCTGATCGGCACGCCCGGGAAGCAGGTTTGAAATTCTTTGGGGAACGACGCTTCGGGAGTACATCTAACAGCGCCAGAATCCAGAATGCGCGACTACACATGTTGGAGTCTGTGAGCTGGAATGCACGGCTCGATGGTCGAAGAGTTTCTGATTCTGAGTCCTTCCATGTTGTGTCCGGCCGAGCTGGGATGACATGTGGCACAGCAGCAGGCTCGGATGGAGCTCCGTCCGAGAGTTATCAGCACCTCCCGTTTTACATGGTATCGGAGGTTGGGGGGTGAGATCGAAGTGGAACGGAGAGCCCCCCTACCGGGAGATCGATGTCGGTTTCGTGTTCGTGCCGTGCGTGCGGGCGAGGCGAAGCTGCGTGGGCGGGGGAGAGGAAATTCTCCTGTGGCTGGGCCGCGGCTGGACCAAAAGGTTCTCCGCCCGGCAACCGGTGGCGCGCGGTGTCCCGCCGGTGTCCCGCTGGTGTCCCGCTGGTGTCCCGCCGGCGTCCCGTCGTGGCTGGGCCGCGGTTGGACCAACAGGTTCTCCGCCCGGCAACCGGTGGCGCGCGGTGTCCCGCCGGTGTCCCGCTGGTGCCCCGCTGGTGTCCCGCCGGTGTCCCGTCGTTGTCCCGTGGTGTCCCATGGTGAGATCGACAGTGAGATCGATAGTGAGATCGATACTGAGATCGATAATGAGACCGACAGTGAGATCGATCCTGAGATCTATAGTGAGAGATCGATAGTGAGATCTATAGCGAGATCGATCGTGATATCGATAGTGAGATCGATACTGATCGATCGAGTGGGATCGATAGCGAGATCGACAGTGGAATCGATAGTGAGATAAATAGTGATATCGAAAGCGAGGTCGATAGTGAGATCGATAGCGAGATCGATAGTGGGATCGATAGTGGGATGGATCGTGAGATCGATTGTGTCCCGTCGGTGTCCCATCGGTGTCCCGTCGGTGTCCCGTGGTTTCACGTGCTGAGATCGATAGTGATATCGATAGTGATGTCGTCAGAACAACAATCACCATTGTTGCCCATTGCTGGCCCCCTCCCCCCCAACCTCCTTATCACCCGCAGGGTGGTCGTATAGTTAAGTCGGGCCTGTCCCTCTACAGGGGGAATGTTCAAAAATAGTCAAAAATAGTCTGGGGAATATTTGTTGTGTGTATTTTTGATCATTTTTGAGTTTTCTGCAATATTTTTAATTTTTCGTCAAAAATCCCCCTGTAGGGGGACACGCCCGACGTAATCGTATAGGTATGGAATATGGATGTTGTTCCAACAGAGACATGTCGACGCTTCTTCTGAAGACCCGGCCATATGGAAAGTGATTGGTAATATCGGTATTCCCAAGACTGCGAAACCAGCTGATTTCGATGGGTTTCGGTGCGTCAGCAATCTTGGCTGCCTTGCAAAGTGGTTCATGCGCAGCCTGCAATATATTATTAGGAAGTCTCTGCCTGCACTGCTGGTAGCAACAATACGTTTTGAGGCGGTGTTTGCGTGCGATGGCATCATCGCCATGTTGACCCAAATGGTCACGGTCGCCAGGTCGATTGTCGTCGGCACATTTGACATCCAAACTGCTTTCGATAGCTTCGTCCACGACCACTTTTGCAAGATTTTGCTGGCGAAGGTATGCATGCAAGAGCCATTTGCGGGAGATGTCTGGCATGCAATGTTCCATGACGTTTTCAGGAGTGTCGCTGTGTGACCAATGCCTCCTTCAAGTACGCGGCAAACAAGGAGGCGTTGAGACGCCAGAGCTGTTCTACACAATGGTCGAATATTCATCTTGGGACTGGTCATCCGGACACGGGATGCTCAAAAGGTCGTCTTTTCTTTCGGTGAGGACCAGGACCCCTTGACGCATCTGATCTGGGTTTTCAGCGTTATCGTTGTTGCAAGCGGCATGGCTCGATTCTCCAAGATGGCCAGGATGTCACGGATGTGTTGGGATCCGTTCAAGTTGTCTTGAAAGAGGTGTCGCTCGGATGCAGTTTGTGTGGCCTATTGGTGGATGTCGGATGTGATGCGCCTGCGATCCATCAGGAGGGCCGAGACGAGCCGTGCCTCAACGTTAGAGCGGAGTCCACGCTTTCCCTCGAACACCGTCTGCGGAAGGCAGACGGGCATGGATCGTAGCACATGACAAGACACATGACACATACATGGGAAACTTGAGAACAGCAGGTTCTCCGAAAAGTGCTGCGCCTTCCATTGAGAGTGGTGGAGACGCCCATGAACGCCAATGCAAGGACTGCTGCCCTCATTCGGAACTGGATGGTCCTTGTCGACACAGGACGGGAGTCTGCTGTCGGCGACTTGCCAGCTTTTCCGTTCTCGGACGTGGTGATAATATTTACTTTTGTGGATAATATCGGAAATGACGTCGTCTGGATGTGGTGCACGCGTCAGGAGGGAATTCTCGCATTGGGAAGATTGTTCTGCACTTGTTAGGGCAACGATCGGGGTCAACAGCGTGACCGATGCGATTCTTTGGTAGCGTGGATGCGTGAATCTGTGAAGGGTTCTGCAGCTGGGCTTGCGATCGTTGGGATTTTCCAGACATGAGCCTGCAGTCGAAGACTGGCGATCGGGCTCACGAGGCGCCGCCAGCGCCTCCATACAGTCAACCCGTATCATAAGGACGCACGACAAGGATGCAAGGGCTTTGGACGGCTGTTCCAAGGCTTTTCGAGCGGGGCGCGGCCAACGAAAGTGGCCGAGGATGGACCGTGGAGGCAAGGATGCAAGAGTACCCTTTGGAAAATTGCCCATCCTGACTATAAGGGATGCACAAACGCAGGCGCGAATATGCATATCTTCTGGACGCGCTTCTGGACTCCCACGTGCAGGCCAGGGCTACGGACGACCCGCTCTCTTAGGAGTGTCCAGGGGGCGGGTTCCTAATTGCTTGTATCCCCAAGGTTTTGCACGAGTACGCAATCTTTCAGGAACGCTGTTAACCAGAGGGGTCTTGCCTCGCCAACGTCACCAGGACCCGGTGGTGTGGAAGAGGCAGGCTTTCAATGTCAAAGCCGACCTTCCTGGATGCCTGGATGTCAGAAAAACGTGGCGGAACAGTTTCCCGTCGTTTTCCGGGCGCCAGTTTTAGAGAGCGAAGCTGGAAACGCCTTGCGACGGAGGCCGTAGAGAAGACGGGGGCTCGGCGTCCGCGTGGATCTTCGAAGTTTGTTGGCAGGACGCTGGATGTAGGGTCTCCCAGATCATGGCCATGGCTGGCTGCTTCCACGAAGGCGCAAGGACGTCCTGGCAGGCCGAAGCCCTCGCACTAGAATATGGCATTCCAGTATTTCTGGTCGTTTTTTGACTATTGTGCATTTTTCGTCCAACATCCGCCTGTAGGAGGACATGCCTGACCTGACCCTAAGCTGCGCAAGAGACGAAGAGCATCCAGTCTTTCCTGCTCCTCCCCTTCGTCTCATCGGTCGTCGCATGATACGGCGCCCGGCTTTTCGGGACGCGGGGGCCCTGAGATCTCGTCGTGCAGATTGCCTGTGCGATGCTCTAGACAAGCATACCCCTGCCGCGACGTTGTGCACTCGAGCCCAGGAGCCAGGACGTCGGGAGATATCATGCGCCGCCCTGGGCCTGACGTTTTCTACGAGCGTTGTGGCTCTTGTTTCCTTCGCACACGCACGGTGGTTGCGGAGTTGCGTGAAACGTCTCATCCGCATCCCGAACCCTGACCACCGCTTGGGGCTCACGCGTACGAGGCGGCATCCGCGGACGGTGGGTGTCCTTCCCTTCCTCCTTCCCTGCTTCTAGGTGGAAGCTTCTGGGAAGCATCTCCTGGGGCACACTCTAGGCTAAGCTGACGCAGTATGGCTTTATCCAACTGAATCCCCATCCTTCTGGTTTCATCAGGCCTAAACCTGACTTTCGCAGGCCTAGAGGTTGACACCAACACCAATATCGGCTGTGTGCCTCCACCGATGGAAGAAGATCCTGATCTCGGTGATGGTGGTAATCTTCTGGCTTCCAAGGTGACCGACATATTACCACCACCGCCGCAATCTAGGATCATCTTCCCCCTCTGGAGGCGACCCCCTGTGTTGGTGTTGGTGCCCATTTCCAGGCCTCCAGTACTTTATCCAGCAGCAACGCAGTACTCAATCCGGGCTCACTCGTTCCCACGAAGATCTCCCAGGAGCCGCCTCCGAAGTTCCTCGTTCCTTCCCGCCTTCCTCCACCAGCCCTCCCTCCCTCCCTCCCTTCCTCCCTCCCTCCCTTCCTCCCTTCCTCCCTTCTCCCTCCTCACTCCCTCGTCCCTCCTTCTCGTTCCTCTTTCGTGGCCGTTTTGCTCGTACCGGCTTGGCTCCTCCTTCCCTGGCTGGTGTCCTGGCCGGAGCGCCCGTCTTCCTCTCAGCCGAGGCGCGCGCGTGCGTGCGACACCACGCCTCAAGTCCCAAACTTCGAAATATTTAGCCTCCTCCTGCTCATGATCGACGACTCGGGCGGGTCTGTAGCGAGCGGGGACAGCGATGCAGAGCTCACGCGGTGGGTCGTCCTGGGGGCCGGGGGTGCAGCCGATTCGGAATGCCCGTTCGTGTGCGCGTTCGGGAAAACGCTACAGGCTGACAGGGGGCCACATTCGAACCCTACCCCTACCCAGAGCTCCCGAACGAAGTGAACCCCACCCTCCGCCTGAGAAATCGTGTAGGGGTCGGGTTCGCATGTGGCCCCCCAAGCTGAGGTCAACCGTTGCCTGCGGACCGACTGCGAGGACTGGCCCGTGGCCCAGGGCGCGACCCGGCGGTGGCCCGGCGGGCTGAGGGCCAGGTCTGGAGAGCAACGCCGGCGCCGACGGTGCCCGGGCGGAGTCACGAGTGCCTGCTCGGCAGCGTGGGCGGGGCGAAGGTCTTGGTCGAGGTCGGTCGCTGCGCTGCGGAGCGGCGCCGAGTACAACGGAGACACATGCCGAGAAGCACCTTGCTTGCCTCCAGGGGGCCCTGGGTTTCTTGGGTTTCGATGGTTTTGCAATGGATAGCGTGACGATGTCACACCAAGCATCGATGGACGTCCTGGGGTCTCAGGGTTGGGTTTCTCGTGGAAGGTTTTTTGTGGACGAGCCCCCACTGTACAAGCTGATGGACACGAGGGCCTTCTCGCCTCGGGCCCCTGGGGGCAGCCGCGCTCTGGCCGCCGTGCGGCCGCCAGCGCGCGCGTCCGTCGGTGGCCGCGGCGCGGGGGGGCCGCCCCCCTGGGCGCGGGGCCCGCAGGAGAGGACGCGGAAGCGGGCGGCCGGTGGGCCTTGCGCGAGGCGCCTAGCTGCTGGCGCTGCCGCGCTCCTCCTCCTCCTCCTCCTCCTCCTCCTCCTCCTCCTCCTAATCCTCCTCCTCCTTCTCGGTCCTGCAGCGCCCGCGCGCGGCGCCGGCGGCGCCGCCAGGAGGCGCCGACTGCCACCGCTGAGAATTGCGGCGACTCCGCAGAGGCAGCGGGCGGGTGGCGGCAGCGGGGCGCTGCCGCGTGCGTGGGCGCTGCAGCGGCCGCCCCAGGGCACAGGAGCGGCGTGCGCGGGCGAGGTCGGGCAGCCATCGGGCACGGGCGTGGCCGACGGGACGAGGCGTGCCATCGATGGTGCGCCCCAGCGGCGGGGTCAGCGGTGGCAGCCACGGTCGGGGGATGCCGTGCAGAGGCTGGGGCTGGGGCCATCCTCCTCCTCCTCCTCCTCCTCCTCCTCCTCCTCCTCCCAAGGGGGGCGCGGCGGATGCCGCGTTGGCGGGGGGCCCACCGCGGCGGCGCGGGATCGGCGGGGGGCGGCGCGGCTGGCGCAGATGAGCGGCGGTCGCCAACTGCATTGGAGTGCAACACCAACGACAAATCTTCCTTCTCCCTCTCTTTCCCTGATCTTCCTCTTCCTGCCCCTCTCTTTCCTCCTCCTTCTCCCTCTCTCTCTTCCTCGTCCTCCTCCCCCTCCTCTTCTTCCTCCTTCTCCTTCCCCCCCCCCTCCTCCTCTGCCTCCTCCCTCCCTTCCTCCCTGCTCCATCTGTTTTCTTTCCTCCCTCGCCCTGCTCTCTCTGTTCCCGCCCTCCTCCTCCTTCCTGCCCTCCTTCTCCGCCTCAGAACGCAATTCTCCTCCCGCTCCCTCGCCCCGCCCGCCCTCCCCAGGCGCCCGCCGAGCCGGGGGCGACGGGCTGGAGGCAGTTCGACTGGCGCGGGGGCGCCGCGGAGGGCGCGGGCGCGGCGGAGGGCCAGAAGGACCCAGGACGCGGGCGGCCGCCAGCCAAGGGGGGGGGGGGGGGCGGACGGCCAAGAGAGCCGTGGGCGCGGGGCGGCCGGCTCATCCTGCCCTTGGCGCACGGCCGCTCGGAGGCCTTCCCAGTGGCGTGGGGCGTCGTCGCCGAGCTGCTTTTCGCGACCCTGCAGTCGTTCGCCGCGGTCGGCGGGCGGCTCGCGGCACAGACCGTGCTTCGCCGCGCCAGAGGGAGAGAGGGGAGGGGCAGGATGGGGGAGAGGCAAAAAGGAACGGGATCATGATTGCGGTGATCAGGGGCCTTGTGTTGGTTGTGGTGGTGATGGTGGTGGCGATGGTGATGGTGATGATGATGTCGGGGAGGGTGACGGTGCAGGTGGTACAAATACTGACCATGGTGAGGCGCGTGAACGTGACGATTGCGATGGCGATCAGACGGTTGCAGGTGATGATGATGACGATGATGCTGACGATGGTGGTGGTGGTGGTGGTAATGATCATGTGGGTGGTGGTGGTTGCAGTGTTGGTGTTGTTGGTGGTGATGGTGGTGATGAGGCTGGCGTTGGCGAACACGACGAGCATGCCAGTGGTGATGCGATGATGTTGGTGCAGGTTCTGATGGTGACGACGCCAACGGTGGTGATGTTCACATGGTGTTCATGGTGATGGTTCTGTTGATTGTGGTGAGGCGGTTGTGATGGCGGTGATGGGTAGGGCGAGGTTGAGGTTGGAAGGTCGTGCGGGGAGGGGTACGTTTGCACATTGATTATTACGACGGAAGGACGATGTGGGTGATGAGGGCTAGTCTGAGGTGCTGATGGCAGTGGCGCTGGTGGTGACGATGGTGATGATGCTGGTGCTGACCATGATGGTGCTGATTCTGATTACGGTGGTGGCGATGCCTTTGCGGCCGATGACGATGATTTGGGTTGTGCTTGTGCAAATGGTGGCTATGATGTGATTCGGATGCTTACGCATACGGCGATGGCGACGATGATGCCGGGTGAAGGACGGAAGGTGAGCAGAAGGGGGAAGAGGACGACGATGAGGAGAAATACCATCGCCCCCACGTGTGCGGACTACCGTGAGGGGGCGGTGGGGGTGGGGTCGTCGGTGCCCTGAGAGGTCCGAGAGAACATTTGAAACAAGAACCATCCGCAGGCTCTTTCTATATATATATATATATATATATATATAAATAAATAAAGCGTTACGCGACGAACCCGGCGAACCCGCCACAAACGCCGATAGGGGGTTCGCGGGAGTGGGTGTGCCGAGGGAGGGTCGCGGGTGGGTCGCGGGTGCGTCGCGGGCGTGTCGCGCGTGAGTGGCGAGGTGGGTCGCGGATGATTCGCGGGGTGGGTTGCGGGCAAAGCGGCGCCAGCAGGGCAGCACCAATGCCGCCATTTTTCGCCGCGGAACCCCACTTCAGCCACGCACGTTTCAAACACGCAGGGGACGACGTTTTATTCGTTTTCTAGATGTCCGATTCGAGCCAGGCCCAAACGTGTTACAAGCAGCTCCCCCGAACATGGGCGTCAGGCAGAAGTAGAAACACAACGAACACGGAGTAAAACGCACAGATGGGCCACGGGCCGATGCCGGACCCGGACACATATAAAAGTCGATCACCCAAACGGAAAACGCTTTCAGCGTCTCCAGCAATACTTGAGAAAGGGGGGATGTTCATGAGGGACGAAATCCAGGAGTTCAGGGAGGAGGGGCAGGGAGGAGAGATGCGGGAGGGCAAACTGATCAGCGAACCCTGGATCTCATCCGTCCCGTTCCCCCCCGTCCCAGCGCGCTGCTGATGCTCCCCTTTCGTTCCCCTTCCTTCCCCCCTTTCTCCTTCCTTCCCCTTCCCACCTTTTTTTTTCCCCCTTCCTTCCCCTTCCCCTTCTTTCCCCCTTCCTCCCCCTACCCTTCCTCCTCCCTTGGGCACGGTGCGCTCCAAGATTCCGAGGCCCATCCTCGTCCACCCGCCCAAAACCTGCAGCCCGAGCATCCTCGCCGACCCGCCTTGGAGCAGCTCGGCCTCGCCCGCCCGCCGAAAAACGGCAGCCCCGCTCGTCCTCCCCCACACGCGTGTAATAGTTGCAGCCCAACCCGCCCTCTCCCGCCCCGCCCAAGAGTGCAGCCCCTCCTCGACCTGCCTCCGACGAGGAGGAGGAGGAGGAAGAGGAGGAGGAGGAGGAGGAGGAAGAGGAGGAGGAGGAGGAGGAGGAGGAGGAGGAGGAGGAGGAGGAGGAAGAGGAGGAGGAGAGAGGAGAAAGAGGAGGAGGAGGGAGTAGGAGAGGAGCAGGAGGAGGAGTAGAGGTAGAGGTAGAGGTAGAGGAGGTAGAGGAGGAGGAGGAGGAGGAGGAGGAGGAGGAGGGGAGTAGGAGGAGGGAGGAGGAGGAGGATGATGTGGAGGTGGAGGAGGAGGAGGATTAGGAGGATTAGGAGGATTAGGAGGAGGAGGAGGAGAAAGAGGAGGAGGAGGGAGGAGGAGAAGCAGGAGGAGGAAGGGGAGGAGGAGGAGGGGAGGAACAGCAGGAGGAGGAGCAGCAGGAGGAGGAGGAGGAGGAGGAGGAGGAGGAGGAGGAGGGAGGGGGAGGAGGAGGAGGAGGAGGAGGAGGAGGAGGAGGAGCACGAGGAATACTAAGAAGAATAATACGAAGAAACAGGCGAATAATAATAATTGTAGTAATAATACTATTAATAATAATATCAAGAATAAGAAGAAGACGAAGACGAATACTACTAGTACTAATAATAAATAGTAATAACAAGAATAAGAAGAAGTCGACGACGAGTACTACTACTACTACTACTACTACTACTAATAATAAACGTCATACTAATACGAATACTACAGATACTAATACTACTAGTAATACTAATAAGAAAACGAAGGCGAATCAGACTACGAATAACGATAATAAGAATACGAATAATACTACTAATAAGAATAATACGAATACTACAAACAACAATGCTTTTCATGATATGAATAATACTAATGATTGTACTACTAATAATTGTACTACTTATATTCATACGAAGAGTAGGAAGACGAATGCTAATAATCATACTGCTAGTAACACCAAGAAGACGAAGCATAAGACGAACACCACGAACACTAACAATATTAATACTAATATTAAGAAGGCGAACAATAGTATGACTACACAATAATAGTACTACTACGAATAGTAATAAGACTAGTAGTACTACTACTAATACTACTACTAACAATAATAATACTACCAATGCTAATACGACTACTACTACTACTACTACTACTACTAATACTAACGCTAATACTAATACTAATACTAATACCATTACTACTAGTAATACTAAGACTATTACTGATACTATTAATAGTAGTAATACTTTTAATGTTGATACCAAAACGACTAGTAATACTACTACTACTAATAATAATACTAATAATGCTGATGATGATGCTGCTGATGCTGATGATGATTCTGATGATGCTGATGATGCTGATGATGATGATAGTACTAATCATAAGGATGCTACTACTAATACGCAGAATAATAATACCAATACGAATATGAATAATACGAATAATAATAACACGAAAACTAATAACAATACTAATTATAAGAATAAGAAGAATAACAAAACGACGAAGACGAGGAGGATGAGGAGGATGAGGATGATGAGGATGATGATGAGGAGGAGGAGGGGGAGCAGGAGGAGGAGGAGGCGGAGGCGGAGGCGGAGGCGGAGGAGGAGGAGGTGGAGGAGGAGGAGGAAGAGGAGGCGGAGGCGGAGGCGGAGGCGGAGGAGGAGGAGGAGGAGGAAGAAGAAGAAGAAGAATACTAAGCATAATAATAATATTATTATTATTAATAATAATAACAATAATAATAATACTAATAATACTACTAATACTACGAACAAGAATATTAAGACGAAGACGAAGAAGAAGACGAATCATAATAATACTAATAATACTAATAACATGAAGAATCATATTAAGAGGAAGACGCAGGCGAACACTAATACTACTACTACTAATAATACTAATACTACTAACAATAACAATACCACTAATAATACTATTGCTAATAATTATTATAATCATAAGAATAGTAATAATATTAAGAGTAAGAATAATACTAATAAGAATAATAATAATAACACTAATAATAATCACAATACTAAACTACTACTAATACTATTAATAATAGTAATAAGAATGAGATCAATAATACTAATACGAAGAAGAATACTACTAATAATACTAATACTAATATTATTAATAATACTACTACTACTAATATTAATAATAATAATAATAAGAATAATACTAAGACGAGTACTAATCAGAAGAAGAATACTAATAACAAGAAGAAGAAGAGGAGGAATAATAAGAGGAGGAGGAGAAGGAGGAGGAGGAGAAGGAGCAGCAGGAGGAGGAAGAGGGGGAGGAGGGGGAGGAGGGGGGGGAGTGGGAGGAGGGAGGAGGAGGAGGAGGAGGAGGAGGAGGAGGAGGGGGACGAGGAGGGAGGAGGAGGAGGAGGAGGAGGAGGAAGAGAGGGAGGAGGAGGAGGAGGAGGAGGAGGAGGAGGAGAGGGGAGGAGGAGGAGGAGGAGGAGGAGGAGGAGGAAGAGAGGGAGGAGGAGGAGGAGGAGGAGGAGGAGGAGGCGGAGGAGACTTAGGAGGATTAGGAGGATTAGGAGGATTAGGAGGATTAGGAGGATTCGGATTAGGAGGATTAGGAGGATTCGGATTAGGAGGATTAGGAGGATTAGGAGGAGGAGGCGGAGGAGAAGGAGTAGGAGGGGGAGGAGGAGGAGGGGGAAACTGAATTATCATAGTCATAATAATAAGAACAATTCTAATAACAAGAAGGAGACACCTAATACGACTACTCATGTTTATACTACGAATAATACTATTACTATTAATGAGAGAACACACTATTATGGATACTAAGGACAATCAGAGTAATCAGACTAAGACACATGTTATGAACAATAAAACTAGGAATGCTAATACTACTAAGAAGCACGCTAATACGATTCGTTAGAATTATAGGAATCTCAACCATAATAAGACATATTGACAATACTATATGAGTAAGCAAACTACTAATACTAATATTAATGCGAAGAAGACTACTAATCATAACAATAAGACTAATACCAATAATAATACTACTAATATTAATAAGGCTACAAAGAATAATACAACTCAAACGCAAAAATTAGCATAATAGGAATAAGAGGAAGAGGGGGAGGAGGAGGAGGAGGAGGAGGAGGAGGAGGAGGAGGAGGAGGATTAGGAGGATTAGGAGGATTAGGAGGATTAGGAGGATTAGGAGGATTAGGAGGACTAGGAGGATTAGGAGGATTAGGAGGATCAGGAGGATTAGGAGGTGGAGGAGGAGGAGGAGGAGGAGCAGGAGGAGGAGGAGGAGGACGAGGAGGGAGGAGGAGGAGGAGGTGGAGCCGAGTGGTAGGGTACGAGGTTGCACCCAGGATCCCCGCCAGGGTCTGGCGGCGAGCGCAGGGCGGAAGTGAGAGAGGGCAGGCCTCCTCAGACGTCCAGACTTCTCACTTCTCCCCTGGGCCCGCCGCCGAGGGATGAAGCCCGTGAACCCCTCGATCTGCCCCCCCGCTCCCGAGGAGACGAGGAGTACTCCCTGCGCGTCGACTTCGACGAGGCCGCCTGCCTCGCCGGCCCGCTGTCGGAGTACCACGCTGTCTTCGAAGCGCCCGCGGCGCTGAGGCCGCCGGAACCTGAGCGGAGGCGGATAAATATGAAGTACAAGACGATAAAGATCGGGCCCGTCGAGGCGCCCCCGAGCGTCTCGGTGCTCACGCACAAGGGCGCGCCGGCCGAGTCCGAGGCCCTCGCTGCGATCTCGTGCAGACCCTGCCCCTGCCCTGATCACGGGATGCCAGATTTGCCGGTCGCGACCAACCAGATCGGTCGCCACCCATGCTTCTTCAAATTCCAGTATGGGTCGCGACAGACCGGTCGCGACCGGTCGCGACCGATTTTGAGTGCTTCCCGTATGCCACTGAGGGCAATTGTAATTGACTCGTAAGCCAGGCTGGGCCAGATGCAACCCATCTTTTTCATCCAGTTAGGACCACCCTGTTTCCTTCGCCACGGCAGCGGTGATCCAAGTACCCCTGCTGCTCCAGTCGAGGCCAGGGTAGCGGGCACCCTCGCCGGGGGTCACCTGGCTGCACGTGTCCGAGCGGGGCCGCGGCCAGCGTTTCAGAAGCCTGCCCTTCTGGGTTGGGGTTCGCATGGCTGCCTGCCCGCCCTCAGGGGCACCTGTGTCGTGCAACGAGATCTACACATATCCACTGCTCCCTGGCCAGGCCCATCCTGAACCCAGGAGCCGTGTATACACATCCCCTCCTGGCCCAGCCAGGAGGGCGTGGCGTGTGCGCCGCTGCTGGGTTCAGTACGTGCCTGGCCAGGGAGCAGTGGATCTGTGCGTAGATTCGGTCGCCCCACTGCGTCCTACCGCCCTGCCTGGCCAGCGGCAGCCCCGGGCGCCATGGCGGCGTATAGCCTCGGCCCTGGGCGCCGCCAGAGCGTCGGGCCACGCTGCCCGTCGGCGTTTCTAGGCCCCTGGAGTGGAGGCCGCCTCCCGGCGCCGCACCGCAACATGACGGGCCCGGGCGGGAAGCACTGGCCTTACGGCGGGCCTGTTCCTCCACAGGGGGGATACTCAAAAAGAGTGTAGTCTGGGGACGACTTTTTGGCTATTTCTGGCTGTTTTGGGAGTCTGATTTTTGTATTTCTGGTTTTTCGCTCAAAAACCGACTGCAGGGGGACATGCCCGACCTGACACTGGCCCCTGGGTGGAGGCCGATCGCTGGTTCAAAGATGGGTCCTGAGGGATGGGGTCCTGAGGATAGGAAGGTGCACCTCCAAGGGAAGATTCTCACATTGCTTGAGGCACCCCGTCCTCAGCACCCCATCTTTGAACCGCCGAGCCGAGATCATCCGGGCCCACGCCGCGAGGCAGACTGCGTCGCGGAGGAGGAGGAGGAGGAGGAGGAGGAGGAGGAGGAGGAGGAGGAGGAGGGGGAGGAGGAGGAGGAGGAGGAGGAGGAGGAGGAGGAGGAGGAGGAGGATGATGAGGGGAGGGGGAGGGGCGAGGGCCTGCGCGGCCTCCCGGCCTCGGCATCGCGCCTGGGAGCCCAGGGCGCGCGGCCTCCTGGCCGCGGCACCGCGCTGCGAGGGCCGGGAGGGCGTGTGCACGGCGTTGGAGCCCGGGGCGGCCCTGGCCAGGCACGGTGGTGGCCTTGGCATCGCTCGAACGTGCACCTTTTTTTTCGCGGAGGGGGCCATCGAGGAGCCTCCTGTCGAAGAAGGAAAAAACACAAATTTTTGCCGCTCCGCGCGGGTTTCTTGGATCCGCGCCTGGGCCCCCCCCCGGCGGCGCCTCCGGCGCCGTCCCTGGCGCGCTCCGCGCGCCAGGGAGGGGGGTCCAGCGCGAATCCAAGAAATCCGCGCGGAGCGCCAGCAGTTAATGTTTATGTGTTTTTTCTTCTCCTATCCTGGAGCCGCTCGCGAAGAAGCAGCGCACGAGAGCGCACGTGCACGGAGGACGCACGTCCGAGCGATGGCGGGTGATGAACGGGGGCCTTTCTGCGCAGGCCCCGCCGGAGATCTCGCTGGCGTGCGTGGCTCCGTCGCAGGGCGCCGGCAGCGTGGTCAGCCCGGTGTGCCGGCGGGTGCACCCGCACGTCGTGGTGCCTCTGGGCGGGCTGGTGTTCGTGCTGCCCTCCGAGGGCGGGGGCCAGGCGGTGCTCTGGTCCCCGGAGGAGGTCCACCGTCTGTGCATGCCCCAGGACTGCAGGGGGCAACGGTGATGGGAGTCCCAGAGGAGGGAGAGGTGCCGATGCCGCTGCCGTTGCCTCGTTTTGGCGCTTCTGGGGCCTCCTGGGAGGCCCTCGTCCCCACGGCTGGATACGCCTCGAAGTTCTCGACAGAACGCACTCTGGGAGAGGTCTGGGAAGTATGTAGCGGTATCGGTATTAGTTGTCCCCCAATTGGAGATCTTTATTCTACATCTAGATATATGTCTGTCTGTCTGTCTATCTGTGTATGTATGTGTGGTTGTATGCATGCATGCACGCATGCATGTAATGTAATGCAATGTAATGCAATGCAGTGCACTGCAATGCAATGTAGTGTAATGTAATGCAATGCAATGTCATGTCATGTCATGTAAGGTTATGTATTGTAATGTACTGTAATATATGTATGTCTGTCTGTATGTATGCATGCATGCATGTATGTATATATGTAGGTATGTATGTATGTGTGTGCATGTATGGATGTATGTATACATGCAGGTATATGTATGTAGGTATGCATGTATGTATGTATGTATATATGGATATTCGTATGTACGGCATGTCTTTATGCACGTATGTAAATATGTGTGTATGCATGCATGCTTGTATGTATGTATGCATGCATGCACGTCTGTATGTATGTAGGTATGTATGCGCATGGACACATGCATGTATGTATGCGCGTGTGCATGCATGTATGTGTGCGTGTATGTATGTATGCATGCATGCATGTATGTATGTATGTATGTATGTATGTATGTACGTATGCATGCATGCATGCATGCATGCATGCATGCATGTATGTATACATGTACGTTTGTTTGTATGCATGTATGTATGTACGTATGTACGTATGTATGTATGTATGTATGCATGCATGTATGTATGTATGTATGTATGTATGTATGTATGTATGTATGCATGTAAGGAATGTCTCCATGCATGTATGTATGCATGCATGCATGTTTGTCTGTCTGTCTGTCGGTCTGTAGGCATTTAAGTATTTATGCATGCAAGCATGCAGGTATGTATATTCGTACGTATGTATGTGTGTGTATGTATGAATGTATGCATGTATGTATGTCAGTCTCTCTGTCTGTACGTAGGTATGTCTGTAGGTATGTGTGTGTATGTATGTCTGTCCGTATGTATGTGTCTGTATGCCCGTATGTCTGTATGTCTGTATGTCTGTATGCCCTCCTTATGTCTGCATCTCTGCATGCCTGTCCGTATGTATGTATGCATGCATGCATGCATGTATGCACGTGTATCTGTACATGGACAAACCATACAACATAACCATACGACTATAACTTACAGCACTTATGCATGTAAATGGGGGGACAGGCTCAGGGGGAGTGGATCACCCCCCAGACGTCCGTTCATCGCATGCAGACGCCTGATAGCCCACTCCTCCCACGAACATGCGGTTTCGCTATCGAGCGCCTATCGCCGATCCATCGGCGATGTACCGCCGATTCCAGGGCGATGCTCATTTCCCTTTCCCCCTGGGCCAGTCCCCCCCCTATCGTTTCTTCTCAAGACCAAGCTCGAGTTACTCGTGGAGGAGGAGCTCAGGTACTACTACGCTGGCACTGCCCTGCCGACCCAGACCACGCACTTGAGCCGCACCACGTCCAAGAATTATTCACCGCTCCTGACAACGAGCATCGATGGTATGGTCTGCATCTACCGGCCCACCGGCGACTCCAGCGACATTCGCATCGTCGACGAGGGCGCTGGGATTTTGCGGCGCGAGTGCTGGGACAGGGCCGTCGGCGGCCAGAGCCCGGAAGAGAGCTTCGACCCCAAAGTTCAGGCTGGCCGCGTTCCGAACCGCACAGTGGAGTGTGTGGTCAAGCCTGGCACTGCAGTGGCAGTCTCGGCGCACCTCATCGACGACTCGTGGTACTCCGCCGCGAAGGACGGTGGCGGGGGCGTGCACCTCCACCAGAAGCTCGTGCCCCCTGGTACGCCTTTTCTGCCAGGCAAGCCGTCGCTGAAGAGCGATAAAGACTGGTGGGTGGTGGAGCTGCTCCAGGACCCGGGCTCGGCAGAGCAAGGGGTGTGCTGGCTGGTCGTCCGTCCTGCGCGCCTCTTCGAGATCCCCGCCGCCCCGGAGCCGGCGCCGCCGCACACGGCGAAGGCGGCGTCCTTCTGGCACGTGCCGTTCGTGAACGGCGAGGTGGACGACGCAGAAAAACCTGGTCGGCTGCTCCGACATTCGCGCGTAAGCTGCCCGCGTGAGGTCGCGCGTAAGCGCCTCTTGTTTCCAACGTGTCGTGCCACTTTGGGGGTGCCCGCGCAACGCACCGCGTAAGGTCCTCATGTCTTCACTCGTGAGACCCGTTTCTCCTCGTCGCTCAGGTGGTGGCATCGCTCTCGCCCGTCGCGCTGGCCCACGAGGTTCAGGAGGGGAACACGCACACACTGACGCAATCAATTGCCGCTTCCCAGGAAGCTATGGGGAAATATTGGAAGTGGGGGGCAAAGACGAGACTCCAGAACCTATGACAAGTGTGGCGAACCCTCGGACTTGTGCCCATTCGTCTGTGCGTCCCTGGGGCCCTCGGGAGGTGACCCTGAGCATCGGCCGCAGCCCCTCCGAGCCGCACTGCGTGACGGCGGCGCTCGACGAGTCCGGGCCCGCCGGCGCCGGCTCCGGGCGCCCAGCGGCGGCGGACCCGCGGCGGCCCGCGGCCGCGGGCGTCGGCCCGCAGCGGAAGCCCGGGGGAGCGAGGCTCACCGTGATTCGGGGGCGATGAGATCGATGCACATCCATCTTAGCATCGCTCGGACGTGTGCATTTTTCCTTCGGCGGGGACCATCGAGGAGCATGCTTGATCAGTTGGCGAGAAATCCACGCACGAGACCGAAAAAAGCACAGGGAATGGACGTCCGAGCGATGGCGAGCCACTGCTCCCTGGCCAGGCCCATCCTGGACCCAGGAGCTGTCTATACGCGCTGCGTGGCGTACACACAGCTTCTGGGTGCAGAATGCGCCTGGCCAGGGCGCGGTGGATGTGTGCAGAGTTCGTTGCCCTACACGACACGTGGAGCAGGCGGGTCCTGAGGGAGACGGGCCTTGAGTTGTTTTTTCCCCAGAGGTTCTGGCGCTGCAGTTTCTTTTCGCACCGGGCGCCCAGTGCCAGCACATATCGATTCGGCTCGACGCGCGCCGCAGAAAGACGGAGTCTGGGGCTCAGGTCGTGATCTTTTGCGATTCTGCTCCGCAGCGTTGGGTCTCGAAAAGCCACCCGCGTTTGAGACGTGATGACGTGCGTTTGATGGGCCAGGCGTTTGAGAGTCCCCTGCGTGGCGAGAACAAGCTGGACCGAGAAACTTGGTCGAAAAGAGGGGGCGATGCCACAGTGTCGTTTTTAATGCATGCTCCGCGTGCGGACCATGTATAACAAATAAAGGGTTGATTAATACATACAAGGATGAGTTTATGCATTAATTTGTTCATACATTAGTCATGCATTAAGCATCCTATATTTTGAAACATCCTATGTATTAAAAGCTGCCCTGTAGGTCACCGTTTTTTCTGGCCCCTGAAGGCCATCCCGGGACCGTGGGGCCGGCAAGAGCAGCGACTCGGTGTGAAGAGCGTGCCCCGGGGAGAGCGCCCGAGGCCCAGGGCCCGTCTCTCCCACGCCAATGTGGAGGGTTTCCCCGCAGGGCTCAGGCGACTCCTCCTCCCTCCTCCTCCTCCTCCTCCTCCTCCTCCTCCTCCTCCTCCTCCTCCTCCTCCTCCTCCTCCTCCTCCCCCTCCTTCCCTCCCTCCCCCGTCCCCGCTCATGATCCTCCTCCATCTCGTTCCTCATCTCACCATCTCCTCCCCCTCTCCCCCTCCCCTCCCCCCCCCCTTTTTCCTTCTCCTCCTCCCATCCTCCTCCTCCTCCTCCCCTTCTCCCTCCTCCTCATCCTCTTTCTTCTCCTCCTCTTCTCCTCCTTCGGGGTCGCTACGGCCCCTGGGAAACCGTGCCACGCCAAACGACGGCTGGAGCTGATCCGAGACTCCGTCCAGGGCGCCTCAGATTCGTGCAGCACTCGCCGCTGGGCCCCCCGGCCCGCGGCAGCGTTCTGGGCGGCTGGCAGGAGGCGCCTGCCAGCTACACGGACCTCCAGAGGAGCCCAGGCTCCTCGAGGTCGACCTCGCAGGGTTCGCGGGCGGTGCCCCAGCGGACGCTGCCGAGCCCGGCGGACGGATTGGTCTGCCGTGCGGATGTGGGCGAGAGAGACTCGTCGGTGGTCGTGATCCGGCGGGAGGACCCAGAGGAGGAAATGGTACCCGTACCGTTACCCTTCGCCCGTCTTCCTCTCTTTCGGTCTCCTGGGAGGCCCTCGTCGCCACCGCTGGATTCGCCTCGAAATTCTGGTCAGAACGCACCCAAGGAGAGGTCCAGGGAGCAGCAGCACAGTCGTACCCAGGCATGAGATCGAGGTCGGTTCGGAGAGGGTGCCCTGATGTCCTTCGTGCTTGTTGGATGTTCTGGTGCATCCTGGCGGTGGGCACCCTCGAATGCTCTTTAATTTGTCCGGCGGAGGGTCTTACAGTGAAAACGTATAGTAAGGACGCGTGGTAAGGACGCAAGACCCTTGGAGGCCGAAGTTGAAATATTCTGGGCGGCAGGCGGCCAAACCCCCAGGGAACCTGAGAAACTGGCCTGCGAAAATTGCTAGGGACGGGCCGCAGAGGCTGAGGCAGGCAAGGACCCAAGGGTACCCTTGAAAAAGTCGTTTGTCCTTACTATGCGCGTTGACTGTATGTTCTTGAAGGATGTTCTTCTGTCTAGGGTTCGACTGTAGCGGTATATCAGTCTTTCCTGGCTTCACCAAGGACTGCGTGGTGGTGCCCTGCAGGTCGAGGCCCGCTGTGCAGCTGGGCGCGCTGGTCCGCCAGGGGAACGCGCTCAGTGCCGAGGACAAGGCCCCCTGTGCGGGGCAGGTGCTCTCCGTGGAGGAGCAGGGCGACGGCTTCCTGCTGACGCTGAGGAAGGGCCACGTCTACCTCGTGACCGAGGGCGGCAAGGTCATGACGAGGTCTGGCAGCATAGCCGCGAAGGGCGACGTGCTCGGGACCGTGGATCTTGCAGTGCCGAAGACTGCCGACATCGTGCAGGGACTCCCGAAGATCAACTCGATGTTCGAGGTCGCCAAACAAGCTACCAATATCGAAGGCAGGCTCGATGAACTGTGGGAAGATGCGAAGAAGCAGTACCGCGGCGTCGAGGCGGCAAAAATGGCCATCCGCGCCCTGCAGATGGAGCTGCCCGCGGAGATCCAGTCGGTGTACCGGGAGCAGGGGGTCTCCATCAACGCCAAGCACATCGAGCTCGTCGTCCGGCAGATGACGAACAAGTGCCTGGTCGTGCAGGGCGCGGGTCTGCTCAAACCAGGCAGCCTCGTGAGCTATTTGGACGTGGAGGCGGCGCAGGCCCTCATGACCAGCGACAGCATCGTCGTTCGCCCCGTCGTCCGCGGCATCACCAGAGTGGGCATGGACAACCACGTCTTGGTCGGCATGGGCTTCCGCGAGGTCGACAACGTGCTGCTCGCTGACCTGGTCGGGGGGCCAGCCCTGCACCCCCTGTCTGGGATCAAGGAGAATCTGATGATCGGCAAGGCCATCAGCGCGGGCACCAACGCCTCGACCTGACGAGGCGGGCGGAGAGGTTTCACCGATGGGCACGTCGGGCGTGCGCACGAGCGCGTGCGGCGGGCGCCGTGTAACGACCGCCGGCCAGGGAGCCTGGCGGCGCCGCCGGTGCCCGCAGCCGCTGGAGGCTCGTGCTCGCGGCGACGGCCAGCAGGCGCGGGCCGGGCCGCTCCTGCACTGCTGCAGGCCACGGCCGCGTCGGCCCCGAGGAGGCACCTGGATGCGCAGTGCCCCGCCATGCCTGGCCGGGGCCATCACGGGCCCCGGTCTTCGGGCGGCGTCGTCGGACCACCTCCACGGATCCTGGCGAGGCCCATCCTGGGCCCAGGCTCGGTGTGCGCGCCCTTCTGGCTTTGCCAGGGAGGCGCATGCTTCGCTCCTCGGCTCAGCTGGCGCCGCCCAAAGTATGCCGCGCAGGCCTTCCTGCTCTCAGCCAGGCGTGCGGATGGTTGTAAGGGTGCCTTCTGCATAGTCGCGTCGCGCTGGCCCGCCGCCGCCGCGCTCCAGACCGCCCACCCAGCAGAGAAATCAAGGGGGGCAGTTTGCTCGGCTTGTCATTCCCCGAGCGCGTTCCGCT